AAAAAAAAAGAGGGGTTGGGGGGGGGGGCTCTTATTGAGGTGTTTAAGATTTTAAAGGAAACTGATAGTGTTGATGCATCATCTTTTTTAATAGTTAACAGTGAGAAAAGTAGGACTTGGGGCCACAAATATAAATTTTGGCAATATAAGAGTCATATTCAACCAAGACATTTTCATTTTTCTAACAGAGTGGTTGGCATTTGGAATGGGTTGCCTTCAGATGTTGTAGAGGCAGTAAATTTAAATGAGTTTAACAAAAAGCTTGATAAGTATATGAATGAAAAGGGTTGGCTTTGAGATTTTTTAATTTAGCTTAGACGATGGAACAGCCGAGATGGACCAATAGGTCCCATGTTGTCCCAAAAGGTTACATTATGACAAAAATTACAAGCTTTAAAACAGGTTTCTACTAGCTTACACTGTTACATGAACAATTTTAGCTACTAAAAATTATATATACTCTTAAAAAATTAATCCCTAGATGGCCTCAAAAATATTGGGATTTTGTTAAAAATATATATATTTTTAATGGGAAAGGAAGATTATATGGATTCCTATAAAATGGTGCCAAGCCTAAAGCCTGACACACGCCTATTCCCATATTAAACTTTTTTAGTTATTAGTATAATCAAATCACAGCTTGTTTACACTACAACAGGAAATATGTTTCATCTAAGTATTTACACTTACAGAGTCAAAATCAGAGTCACAGCATTCGAGTTAAGAGTTCGCCTGTAGTATTCCAAAATATCAAACTTTAAATTACTTTAAGCTACAACACCAGATAATAGAGTGGTTGTTAGTTTTCTATCTACATGTATATGTTTAGATATACATATATATAACATAATATATTGTTTGTTTGTTATGAATTTCGTGAAAGCTACAGGAGGGCTATCTACGCTACCCATCCCTAATTTAGCAGTGCAAGACTAGAGGGAAGGCAGTTAGTCATCACCACCCACCGCCAACTCTTTTACCAATGAATAGTGGGATTGATTGTCACGTTATAATGCCCCCACGGCTGAAAGGGCGAGCAAGTTTAGTGTGACGGAAATTCGAACCAGATTACGATTCGAGCACCCTAACCACCTGGCCATGCCGGGCCAACATAATATAACCTACAATTTATTTATTGTACATGTAGATGAATGCGCCAACTAGTAAGTGAACGCGCCAATGCCAACAACGTTCTAATATAACAATGTAAAATTATACCATTTGTAAAAAAGGTATAATTTTAAAGTGAAAATGTTTGCAGTTATAGCTCCCAAAAGCATTGGGGATATTCCGTCTATCAGACATAATCAAGACAACAGATGCAGAGCTAGTCAGCATGCAACCGAATATATATGTGTGTGTGTTTTACTTTATAATAATAATGAAATCGTTAATACAATTTTTAAAGTCCAATTTTACTTAATGGTATTAAAGTATTATACTATTAGTATTAATTTTGCAACATGATTTTTAATTTTAGTTTTACCTCCATGTCTAACTTCTAATTGACTAAATCAAGAAAATAATAGTAACAGTAATAACTTTCATCAATAACAAACAATACTGTTTATTTTATTAATAATAAATATGATATAATTTATTTTGAATATTAATTATGTCTTACGCTATCACATCAACATGATGGGCATGATTAAACTACAAAACAAAGCTACAAGTACTATATTGCAAGCGTAAAGAAATAAAACAAACGTGTTATTATTTACACGGAAGATTACAATCCACGTTCTACCTAATTTCTTGATAGCTCACCCTCTAGTAGTGAAGCTTTGCGGTCGATTTATTCACTATAGTTTTGTTGAATAAAAATATCCCATATATAACTGAAAATACAAATAAACCAAATTACAGGAAACTATTTACCCAGGTTAACAGGCAACTTCAAACTTATAATTTTAATAGTTCATTTCATATTTTAAATTGCATCCTTTATAAAAGTAATTCACTTTAAATTTTACAAAAAAAAAATAATATCTAATTTGATGAAGAGGAACCCCCTTGAAACTAATTAGGTTTAAGTGTGGCTTAAAAGGGTAAAGAAAAACTTTACTGCGAATTTAATACATCAACAAATGTACAACATTTCGTCGTCACACTTACTCGGAATGTTACTCATTTGTTACTGTGTGAAACGTACAATAGAGTTTTTTCGTTACAAATAGGGCATATTCAGTTAAAAACTAGTTTCTTAACAAGTATTATATAGAAGATTTCGTAATAACTGTGTAGTTCGCCCAGAAGATTTACGAGAATCCTTATGGCCGAGATACTTCAACTGATTGTTGTTTTTAGTATGTAAATCAACAACATGGACAAGTTTTAAAGAAAGAAAGAAACAAACAGAATATTTAATTATACTTGATATAAGATATTGTTACGTCTCTGTTCGTTTGTATAATTTCCCGTAAAAA